TCTCTCACATCACAACGCGACGCCACGCCACGTCACGTCACGGTTTCTCTCACATCGCAGCGTGACGTCACGAAGCGTCAGCCAAGATCTTTGGCATGTCCTCCCGCCATCGTTCCTCCCAAGCCGCGAGGTGAAAGGCACGGGAGGACTGTGGAGGGCTGCCAAGGCACGATGAGCTAGAACCCGCCACCAGACATGTGTCAGGTCACATGGGTGAATCAAGAATCTCATGGGGTTTCATGTGCACGGATCCTGGGATCTGTTTTTGGCTCCAGGAAAATGTCTGCCCGCAAACACCACGAGGGGAGGGGGCTGGAATTAACCGGCTGCTCTTCCAGACAACTCCAGAATAGTTCCAGAAAGCATGCAACATTTCAATTGCCACAAAGTGATCACTTTGACATACTCTGCCAGCCAATGTCTCGATGTCACGTGAAGTGACGGGCATGACGCCCCTTACGCCATTTGTGGAAGCTTTAACGACAGCTATTGCTTCCACAGACAACAGTTCGTCATCTGCCCTTCTGCTTTGGGGTCGTTTTCACGTAATGCATCGAGTGATTTCATTTCGTGCCGGTCAGGGAGAGCCCCTAACACGAGCTCACGCCCGGTCACCGGCGACGGTCCTGCCACGTCAGACTATGATATAATATATATATATATATATATATATATATATATATATATACATTCATATGATTCGTCCAAAGATAAATCCCCATATGTTGATTTTTGGTCATTTTGCGGTTTTTATGTCAGCTGATTCATCTACTCATGCTGATTTTGGTTATTTAAAAAATCAGTACCAATTTTCAAGCATTTCGCCCATTTTTTTAGCTAAAAGCTTGAGAAAATTTCAATTATTGGTTTGAACATACGAATGCAGCATGAGAAGACGAATCAGATGAAATGAAAAAGCCAAAATGGATGGAAATGAACATATGGGGTTTTGCCTTTGGACGGCAGCATGGCTTATCATCACATCATCACAAATCACGCACGCCACATTCCGAAAGAGTAGTGCTCAAGCAAAACGACCTGCCTGGACCTGCACAGACTTTGCCTGGTCTTGACTTTGAACCCCTACTGGTGGCAATACCATGGTTCGCTTTCGTTGCGGAGGCGCGCTATCGATATATCATCTCGCAAAAGTTATACGGCAAGGTTGAGACAAGGTATCTGTGTCACAGTCCTCACAATTATTCGGACTATTCGGACGTCCTAGTCTGGTGAATTTATACGTAAATAATGACACACCAGAAGAGGACGATAGAACGAACAATTATTCCAGCCGCAACATGTCAACACGTGCCGGCGTAAAAGCTATACAACCGTCGTTACCGTAAATTGAACGTGCGACGTTGACAACATCGTGCGTTCAAGTTACGGTAACGATGATTACGAATTATGGTAACCATCGTTACCGTAACTTAAGCACGCGGAAGACAACGCCGCGCGTTCAAGTTACGGTACCGATCATTACGAATTACCGTAACGATGGTTCTATACCTTTGTCCTCTTTGGACGATTTGGGTAGTATTTCCGCGACCTGATCGACGACGACGCGATCCAGTGAAGTACGTCAGCTAATTTAACATGACAACGGCCAGACTATCACTCGCCACCGGAGTGTTTTCGGTCCCACAAGATACAGGGATCCCAGAACGTGTGTTTCCAACGACGTCAATGGTGGACCAGCCTGATGCAAATCAGCATTATCCAAAGGCGTTTTTTTTTAGCAAACGGGTTCAAAAGGCTCGAAGGCATCCGCGCCTTTCTCCAACTCGTTTGTAAGCGCCCGCGTTTGGTGAAATTCCCAGGTGGCGCTACATTAACAGCAGTGGTTACTTGCGTCTGGTGTCTGGGTGTATCACTGACTCAGTAACTGCACTTATAGTCATGGGAGACTACTTAACTAGACTGCTAAGACTAATTCTCCAAATTTTTGGCTCCGTACGACTTCATTTGAGAAGATAACGACAGCAAAGCCTATCAGACCTTTGAAGTCGCTCGATCAAAAAATTAAATCCGAAATCCAAAATGAAACGAAAAAACTATTTCCACCTCAAGCCGCGATGTAAGCTTTCGAAACGTTAAATTTAACTTTCGACCTGATCTATACACAGGCCGAGCTGATGCATAGCCTGTCGTCACCACGGAGCTATCCACATCTTGTCGAATGGCTAATGGCATGGTGATCTGACCATCCTGGGTTCAGACCGGCCCCGTCTCGGCTTCAGACCGCGCCCGTCCCGGCTTCAGACCGCGCTCGTCCCAGCTTCAGACCGTGCCCGTCCCGGCCCCGCCCGGAGCTCAGGCCCCGCGCAGCGGCAGCGTCTCTTGTGGTCAAGTCACAAGAGAACAGTGGGTCACGACCAAAACTATGCGATTGTCGTTCCCTTTTCACCGGACTTCTTTAAGTGTCTCAGTAGAGTGCGCCGAACCTAGGTTCTCAAATACTACCCAACCCGGTAGAATTTCTCGGATCATCTCACCTCACCATCCCCCAAGAAACGTAACGGGGCTATGACCCGGACAGAGTTTAGCACCATCTTTCTTTCAAATATTGGTCCCAAAGAGCGACACCGACTTGTGTTCGCTGTTGCTCCCAGCTGTATACGTGCTATACGTGGTCTTCGTCATCGCGTCAGATATACTTAATAAAGCACTTAGTCAGCACTTAATAAATTCAGCTTATTGAATTAAGTTTAACCTCGTAATTTCCCTTCGCACAAAACTATCTGCGTGCAAAACTTGTTCAACTACCGCGGCTGACGATGTCACTTAGCGGGAAATATATTCTGGCATATTTATGTGTCAATAGTTAAAATACCAATGCGTAGCTTCATTGCCGGCGGCAAGTATCAGAGCACTTACGATCGATGCCTGCTGCATAGGGCTTGCTGGATATATCATAAAGGCACCCAGGCAACGCAGTTCTACTCAAACGGATAGCTTCTCTGTGGGCCCATGTGTTCAGCCCGGCTCTCGCACCGCGAAATGCTAATACGTGGCCCACCTGTGCTCCATTATCCCTTGGTCAGCATCCAGCTGGTCGCTAAGAACCAGCCGGGCGAGTTTCGCACTGCACGGGACTCAAATGCTAAAGCGGGGGGGGGGGGGGAGGCATTCAATGATGTGCATCCACACAGGAGACCACAAATGCTTCGAAGAATTCTTTGAAACAAGTTGCGCCAAACGCTCCATACGGAATACTTTTTGAATTGGTATTTCCCAACCGCTGCCTGCGCGAAGTCCCTTCCGCCTCCGACATTTGCCCAGTCGTAAATACCCAACGCGGTGAAACTTGACAATTCTCACTGTTCTCACAAAACAATGACAATTCGCTGACACTGATCTCTGACACAAAACACATCAGCAAGCAGAACCACGCAATAGCATGACACACCTAGCGTCCCTATATCGTGTATTGATCTATTGTAACAAAGCAAAAGCGACGATCTCTCGATTGCACGGACATTGGCATCGCACAAAAGCGCGTCGCTGGCTGGCCGGGAGTCGCTGAGTACCAGGCACCAGCACCAACTGGCCCCTGCCGTCTTATGCCGACCTTGCCGGCCTCCGTGCGCAGGTAGATGCGGAGCTGGAGCCGTGGACAGCGAGGAAGGCTCAAAGCGCCCCTTTCAACACTGATAGCATGGCGACGCGTGTTGCCCGACGCTGCCCGACGCTGCGCTCTATGATCCGTCGCGCCATCAGTAATGCTGCCCGCGCCGCGCTCTATGATCCGTCGCCCGATCAGTAACGTCGCCCGGCGCCGTGCTCTATGATCCGTCGCACGATCAGTAACGTTGCCCGGCGCTGTGCTCTTTGTGTCTGTCGCACGATCAGTAACGTTGCCCGGCGCCGTGCTCCTTGATCCGTCGCACGATCAGTAACGCTGCCGCGCCGTGCTCTATGATCCGTCGCACGATCAGTAACGCTGTCATGCGCTACGCTCTATGATCCTTTGCCCGGCGCTTCGCTCTATGATCCGTCGCCCAGTTCAATTACGCTGGTCCCCAAGTCTGACCGGTTGCGGCCGCCGCGAGCTGTCAGAGCCTATCGATTGTGCGGCAAATGTTCCACCAAAACAAAGCAGACTATGAAGAGGGAATGTTAATCATATGTTGTCAATCACCCGCGATGACCAGGAATACCAGTCCACCGACGCCTTACGAAATCGACTAGAGATATCAGGTGTGCATGATTCCCCTACAAAGCGCAGTCTTGTCCGCACCGTGGTCACTCGTCGGGTAACAAAGACTAGCCCGCCCTTGCTGTTACGCGTACCGCGCGAAAGGCCAATATAGCATCGCTTCATGACCAAGGTGCGCTTGTCGGCTGCTTTCAGAAGCGTCTGCCAACGATAGACCATCACTGTCTTCTGCTGAAAAATCGCACATAGCCCCGCGCACCATCGAAATGATTGCACGATTCGTCCGCAAGGCTGAACCCCATTTGCCAGTTTGCTTCATGCCAATTGCGTCGTACCTACGCACCGAACACTCAATGTCATGACGCAATCGCCACTGTCTTCAGCGATGTCCGCCTTGTCCATAATACTGCTGCACCTGTACAGCATACACTCGAGATCACACGTGACAGGCTATCCTTCGCAAGACTAATACTGTCATCAAAGCATCATCCTGCCCTTGAATACCTGTGAACAGACAAACCAGCCAGCGACTTGCCCTATTCAGCCGCACGACCCAAATATCACAGCTGCAGCAGCGCGCCGGCGGAAACCGACCAAACACAGCTTCGTGCGGCGCCGCTAGATCTCGTCGCCATCGATGGTCTCCCAGCCGTCCATGCTGTGCTCTCGCGGTCGGAGGAGCGTGGCGGTGTCAGGCCGTGAGGCCACACTCCTGCTCCAGCCCGGCGGTTGGGCCACGCCCCGCCGACACATCCTCGGGTCAGACGACGGCGTGACGTCACCGGGCGTGACGTCACCGGGCGTGATGTCACTGCGCGGCGTGGGCGGCGGGCGGCTGAGGCCGCGGCGGCCGGCGGCGGCGCGGCCGGCGCGCCGCGGCTCCGTCAGCAAGTGGGCCGAGCGTGAGGGGCGCAGAGGGCGCCGCGGCGCGCCGCTCATCTGCTGCAGGCCGGAGAGCAGGCGGCCCACCTCCCAGGAGCGGGCCTGCAGCCGTGAGATGAGCTCGGCCTTGCCCGACAGGTCAGCTCGCACTCCTGCCGGCCGGACGCGGCGCCCCCGCGGCGTCAGCTGGCGCCACTGGACACGACAGAGAGGACGGCGGCGGCGGAGTCTCTACACCGACAGAACCGATGGGCGGACTTTGCCGTGACAACGGGTGAGGTACTTATCGGACATTAGTGGACATCAGATGTCCAGCCAGACAAACGAGGAGCCCCGTCTTAAACAGAGTGCAGGGTCGGTCTTTGAAAATGTGATGTTCATTTCTGCATCTGCTTGGTTGTTCAACAATAACTTTTGCTACCGACCAAACTTGAAGCTTACAGTGGCGTATGGACCCGAAATTGTGCTTTACAGGGCGGAGAATGACGTGATATAAAACAGGAAACGTACTGCAGAAACGGCATATTGGAAACTGCGAACATGGTATATGGCTGAAATAACAAAAACTGAGGTAATTAGACCATTCTACAAATACGCGTCCTACGAGGACGACCAGAACAATAGGAGCAGGGGGGTGAAGTGACAATGGAACGCAGCTTAGTCCAAATGCCTTGATGTATACTGCAGCTACCAATGAAAATGGCTCATCAGCGACAAAAAATCGAGTTAAAACACTATCCAATGCTTGCCTTTCCCCTTTTCCTCAATTTCTTTACATCTTAGCGGCACGTACATTACTATGCTTCTCATCAGCAAGGAAGACAGCGGTGACGTATTTCGGGGAGAATCTCCTGTCTATACACAGACATCTGATAACTACGCATTTACCTCCCCCACCACGAAGAAGTCAAAAGATAAGTACACACTTTCTGATGCCTGTGCGTGCCCCCATTGTCTCATATCGTAATGAGCAAAGGAATACTGTAGAATTTGCCGGAAGCTTCAGTATTATTGACTAATTGAATCCCCCGCTCGCACCCTTCAAATGTCTTCGACAAGCTAGACCAAAAACAAACATCTACAAATAAACAAAACACAAGGCAAACTGCGACGCAAAAGAAGAAAACAACAGCAATAACGTGCTACACGAGATTTCAAGCAAACAAAATATTCTAGCACGTGCGAAACGAACAGACACAGCTATAAAAAGAAAAGTAACATACCGCGGATGGTGGAGGGCACTGGTCGAGCACCGGCAAGAGAAGCCAACACAGATTTACGATCCCGGGTGGCACGAAAGAGGCCCATGCCCGTGGCGAGACGGCAACAACAGGCCACGCCCTGTACTCGTAAATACACAGAGCTCCAGTTTTTGCCAACCAGTTCGCGAACTGGAACTTGTAGTAGTAGTAATTGGGGCTTTAGGGAGCCTCGACCGCGTGGTCATCTAGAGCCCAGAACTTGACCTTCACGTTACACGCAGCAGTATTTACGAAAGATGCTTGAAAGACGGCCGAAATTTTGTCACTCGCCATAGCGATCCCCATTGCCGAAGTAAAAAAGAATGCACATCCACTGCCATTATCGAAGTAAAAAATAATCCAAGTCCGCAGGGGACCAGGAAAAAACACAATATGCCTGAGATGAGGATTTTTGTTTATATTGTTTCTGGCTTAAGGGCGAATAAAAAGGGGGAAAACGAGAATATATTGAGATCATGGCAAAATATCTCACGATATCCAAGTAACATAGCTGTACCTTTTCCTTTTCTACGCGTTCAGCAATGCGGAATAAAGTAAATACAACTGCCCTTAAGGATACGTAAGCATCGCCAACGCACTGCACAGCTTATACAATATGATGATGTCATTGAGGTCTTTGCAACGCGCTCAGCTGTTGAGGCTTCATGGTGTCGCCTGCCTCTCACCCTGGCAAGAAGGGCGGGCACCGCGGGGAATCGAACCCCACTCCTCTGGTTTCTCAGACGCGCAGCGCAGCTCATACAATAGAACTTGTCGACTCTCAGCCTGTTTATGCGCACGGACAAGGTGTAGGCGCGCCTCACTTCTTGTGGGTTTGTGCACCTTCTGCACGCGCACCACAACGACGGACGGGCGGAGCTACCTTTGCAAAACATGACGGTGATTTCGTCCTGCCTGTCACCCCCCAGCACGCAACGGTGTGTGGCCGGGGCATCTGAACCGAGAGCCCACACACCACCGCCAGCTATTCATAGCAGAGCCGCGTACGGCGCAGGACATCATGGCCTTCATCCCATACCTTAACGCCCTTACCGGGCGTTACGTATCGCCCTTAATAGCTTACATATGGTGAACTGATGACCTTGCGAACTGGCTGCAGAATCCGCTGCAGCTTCTGTAGTCGCCAGCTGTCGCGGTCTAGAGATGCCTCTTTTAAACCCCGCTGGCCGGCCAACCGCCGGCAAAACGAGCTCAAAAGAGGTACTTCCCCACCTCGCACTGTCTGACAATTTGCTGCGTGTTCTGTAGACATCAGCTGCTACGAACTGGAGGTACCACCTTTGAGTTCTTTGGCCTGCGCTTCAGAGGCTCGCGGGTTTAAATGCCACACTTCTAGTTCGCCGCAGCTGACGTCTGCAGGATCTGTGGCGCATTCCGCAACTAGTCGCAAGGTGTACACGGGGCTTCGTGCTGCCAGTCCAAGTCAGCTATGAGACAACCGCAGGTCTTTGGTGGATGACCCAGACCACGATGAAGTGGTCGATACTTATTGCCTCACAGTAAGACCTTCGGGGAACAACTTTTAGTTGCAATATTGTTCAAAAAGTTATTTTGTATAATGCGATTCAAAATGTGTCATATCAATAAGTTTCCATAAGCTGAGTTTCCATAAGCTCTGGCTCGCTCACCTAGCGGTCCAGCGGATGTGCAGTTCAGGTGTGCGTGGCATGCACACAGCGCAATCGCAAACGCTCGTGCGTGTTTCCATCTCGGGTAGAACCTAGGTCCGACTCGTCCGACTGCGCCGACCTTGCGAGTTCACAGTCCGGCTGCACTTTATGTATTCTCCGCTTTAGCGACGAGTTGAGTCCACCGATCGCATGCACCTTGTGCTCTGGTGGAGACGCACGTGACGGCACGCTCACCTGCAGCTTGTTGTACATCTCGAGGTTGATGGCCTTGATGTCATCCAGCTGGCGGCGCAGGTTGACGATGGTGTCCTGCTTCTCGTGCACATCCTTCTCCAGCAGCTTGGTCGCCATTTCCATCTCGGCCTTCATCTGGATCTGGGGCAGGCAGGGGGCCGCGTCAAAGGACCGCGCCAGAGGGCCAGACTCGCGACATGACGGGAGAGCTGGAGCGGAGCCGATCCAGACCCTGCAGCCATCTCACACTGTCGCGGATGACGCTCCTTATACTGCAGCTCACAGCGACACCGGCTCTGGGACAGGCGCTGAGCAACGATACTAATCTGTCGTCCGAAGAGAGCATGGCTGAAGTCGCCTGGCCCACAACGAAGAGGCGGTGACGCACAGCTGTCGTCTTGACGGGGCATTACTGCCACCGGCCGTCTTGCTGCTGACGGAGGCTGATACCGCCCCTGACGTCATTTCCGACGTCGCTGAACGCGGCGCTGTTACTTTCAACACGCAACCTCACTAGGCTCAAGCTCGGGATATCGTAGGCTATCGGTATCTGGCGCGTAGCCGCCTGCAGCAACATAGTATGCACACTACCGCTATCGTATAAACGCACGCACGCACACATGCATACACACGCACGCACGCACACATGCATACAACGCACTCACGCCCGCAGCGCACACACACACGCGCGCACGCACGCGCATACAAACCAAACACACACACGAGCGCGCGCACGCACGCACGCACGCACGCACGCACGCACGCACGCACGCACGCAACGCACGCACGCACGCACGCAAGCAGTGCACACTCACACAATGGCCGCTCCAGCTGCTGGGCGGAGGTGCTCACCTGCATCTCCAGCTCCTTCTCCAGCTCGCGGCGGTGAGCGCGCTCCTCGCGCAGCTGGGCGCGCAGGTCCTCAATCTCCTCACCGCAGCCGGAGGGCGAGGAGGCGCCGGCGCCGCTCTGTTGTGACGCCCGCGACGTCACCGACTGCCGGCCGGGCAGAGAGCGGGTCAGACGGCACGCAGACCGGCCACGGCACGGCGGACAGTGGTGCTGGGGACGGCACGGCGGACAGTGGTACTGGGCACGGCACGGCGAACAATGGTGCTGGGGACGGCACGACGGACAGTGGTGCTGGGCATGGCACGGCGGACAGTGGTACTTGCGGACGGCACGAGGCAGAGCAAGCGGCGGAACCTCGTGTTGTGTGTGTGTGTGTGATTGGAGCTTTACGACGCACTCAGCTGCTGAGGTTATATGGCGTCGCCTGCCTCTCACCCTGGCAGGAAGGGCGGGCACTGCGGGGAATCGAGCCCCGTACCTCTGGTTTCCCAGACGTGCAGTGGTTAACGCAGACGTGTTAACCACAACACTGCCGGCACCCCGAACCTCACTGACAGCAGGATGGGGCTGTGGATCCCAGATACATCGGGCGGTTGGCTAAGGGCCAGGACATCACAGTCTGCGGGCCGCACAAGGTCTGACTGCCTACGTCCGAGAACATTGAAACAAATACACCCAGCGCATTCACATCAAACACCATGGCCAGTGCCGATCACCGACTTATGGGTGGGGCCTGGACTGTGGACAGTTCAGGAAAGAAGAAATGAAATGACACTGTCCTTGGGGTGGGGGAAGGGGGCGGGGGTGGGAAGGGGGGGGGGGGTGCAAGGCGGGAGAACTGAGTAGCATCGCTAGCCTTCCCGGGCTTTGTACAGCCTGTTGCAAAACGTCACCATATCATACAGGCTGGGTCAACCTTGTCCAAAATATAGAAGCCCACCCCTGTCTGAACGACGACAAGTCCGCGTCAGTGGATTTCTCAGGGAGACCGCCATACCCATACCCAATGAGTTGAGTGAGTGTGTGAACAGGCTGGACCAGTCCGTTCAAAAGTCTGCTCGATGGTACGACCAAGTCGTACCAGTCTGTCTGAGGTCCTACTGCACTGTGTGGAGAAGTGCCAGTACCAAAGGGTGAGATGTTCGCTTTTGTGCGGCTTGCCCGTATGCGGTATCAAGCTCTGTGCTTTACTGCCAGAGGCCGTACCACTGTGTCGGGTGTGGCCGCACCATGAGCCGGGTGTGGCCATACCAGAGTGTCGGTTGTGGCCGTACCAGTGTGTCGAGTGTGGCCATATCAGTGTATCGGGTGTGGCCGCACCCGTGTATCGAGTGTGGCCGTGCCAGCGTGTCGAGTGTGGCCGCACCATGAGTCTGATGTGGCCGCATCAGTGTATCAGGTGGAGCCGTACCAGTGTGTCGGGCGTGCGGCTGGGGGCGGGCGAGCCGCTCACTGCCGGCGGCCGGCCGACCTGCGCTTGGTTGCGCGCGATGGCCAGATCCTCCCGCAGCAGGGCGCATGTGGCGATCTGCTGCTCCAGCTTCTGCTGCAGGTTGGTGACCGTGGCGCTGCAACCCCATCACAGCGCCGTCATAAGCCGGGTCACCGGGGTCATCAGGGTCACAGCGGGGGTGACGTCAGGCAGCCGGCGGCACCCCGCCCGCTCGTGCGGGGATACTAAGGAACGGATTGGGTTCGGCGGTACTGCCGCCAGCCGTATATACATTCCATTGTATATATACATCTTCCTTCATGTTCCATGGTTATATTCCCTGATGCCGCCTCAAATTGAAATGAAGCATCGAACATGAACGCGCCAGGAGGCATTTTTCGCACGCCACACATTTAGTCCAGTCCTGGTTCACAAATGCCAACCAAACCAGGGGTCGGCACCTTCCACGCCTCAAACCAGGCCGCCAGCGGGGGCCCACACCAGACCCTGCCCTGCCGGTGCCCGGCTGCCGTCCCGCCGGTGCCCCGCCCGCCACCTGCCGGGACCCCGCCCACCGTCGGACGCGGGGCCGGCCCGCTCACTTGAGGTGCCGGTTCAGCTCCTCGATGTAGTTTTTCTGGTCGAGCACGCGCTCGTACTTGCTCTCACTCATGTCGGCCGTGGCCAGGCCCGGCTCGCTGCTTTCCGTCGGACTGTTGCGCAGGTACAGAGAGAAGTCGATCACGCCCTGCTGACAGTCCAGCTCCTCCTCCTGACAGAGGTCACAGGGAGATCAGATCAGAGGTCAGGGAGTCGCACCCTGCTGACAGTTCAGCGTCAGGAAGTCATGCCCAGCTGACAGTCCAGCTTCTCCTCATAACAGAGGTCACGGGGAGATCAGGTCAGAGGTCAGGAAGCCAAGCCCTGCCGATAGTCCCGCCCCTCCTCCCGGCAAAGGTCACAGGGGGTCAGGTCAAAGGTCAGGGAGTCATGCCCTGCTGACAGCCCAACTCCTCCTTCTGACGGAGGTCACAGGGAGGTCAGGCCAGAGGTTAGGGAGTCAATCTCCACTGACAGTCCAGTTCCTCCTGACAGAGGTTACAAGTCAGGTCAGAGGTCATGCCACACCGATAGTCTAGTTTCTCCCAAAAGAGGTCAGGGGTCACGTCACAGGTCTGGAGGCCACGCCCTGCTCACAGCGCAGCTCCTCCTTCTTCCAGCGTTAACAGAGGTCAGACATGATCAACAAGAGATAAAATCGACAGCAATTACTGCACAAAGACAGTTGCCCACAGAATGCCTGTCATTGCCAGACATTGAACCACTCACGCCAAAGCACGTTTCGCCATATTGCCCTGCCTTTTCCTCACGCAATCACGGCCCAAACAAATGGATTCCGTCTGATCTCTCTCTTCGCCACAGCCCTGCTTCAGCCTGCAGCGAGGTCTGCGCCGTGGCCACCACACCAACCAGCGCCACCGCCGGTTAGCACATCATACTAGGCCCTCACCTTCATGCAGAGGTTGCAGTCGATGACGTTGAGGCCGACTAGCAGGCCGAGCACGTGGATGGCCTCCTCGGACAACATCAACGCGCCCTGCTCGTAGTGCTCGTCCAGCACGTCCTGGTGCTCCAGCAGCAGGCGCACGTAGTCGGGCAGCTTCTTCTGCATCAGCGCCAGCCGCAGCCAGGCGCGGGCTCTGCCCAGCGGAGTCCTGACGGTGGCGACGGCGGCGGCGGGGTGAGGCCGGTTCAGGCGACGGACAGAGCGATGAGCGATGCCGCCCACCACGCTCACGGGCGGACCACGCGGGACGGCAGTACAGGGCTCCGAGGCCACGTCACAGGCTGGTGGGAGACCAGCCCACGGCTGCGACTCGTGAGGAGCGCGTCAGGACTCCTGTGTCAGCCACACAGCGCAGCGACGACCTGCACCAAACCGGCCCCGCTCGTGTCAGGAGCACACTAGCTGGGACCGGTTTGACACGTCGCCGCTCGTGTCAGGGTCGACGCCACACGAGCTCCAGGGCATCATAAGGCATCAGGCACTGGACTAGACACAAACAACCGGCAAAACGGCTCTGACCATGCAGGCTCTGACCATCCAGGGTTCTGACCCCAGGCCACCGCACGGCCGGCGCCAGCGCGCATGCGCGGGGCCGGCGCGGCGTCCGCTCGCAGTCTCATTCAACGGCTGTTTTGAAAGAGGATTGGAGAACCGTCATCACACACAATTCTATGGAGCAACAGCGAGTGCAGGTACAAAATTCGCGCCGAAGGACAAAGTCGCAGCCGGGTTTTGCTCCCACGTGAGGGCCGAAGACGCTAAGCGCTCGGCCATTACGCAGTCTGCGTCTCACTTGACGGTGGGCAGGTCTCGCACGCTGGTGGTGATGTCGGCCGCCTCGCTGGTGAGCCGCTCCACCGCCTGCAGCACGTCCCACAGCTCCTTCTTCGGCCCCAGCAGACCCTGCAGGAGGGGCGAGCGCGGTCAGACGCGCCGCCGCGGCCCAGTCCGCCGCCGCCGGCTCCGCCGACCGTGCCGTGCTCAGGCCGGTGAACATTGCTGAGATTGCCACCTTATCGCCGTCTTAAGGAGAGAGCAGGGACGAGCTGCGCCGTCCGCAATTTCAAAATGAGGTCATATCTCGCGGAGCAGCGCGTTACGACGCCCCCCGCTCCCGCCGTTAGCCCCCCCCCCCCCCCCCCCCCCCCCCCCCCCCCCCAGTGGGCACCTGCCTGAGCGAGAGCCCTGTTCCCCGGACGTGCCCCCGGCGCCGACGTACCCGTTTGGGCCGCAGCCCGTGGCGCAGGGCGTGCTCCAGCACGATGAAGAAGTGCTGCAGCGGCACATGGTCTGAGTCGAGCATGCGGCCGAACGGCACCGACGACTCGATCAGCTCCTTCACCACCAACTTGCTGATGTTGATCAGGTTGCTGCGCTCGATGGCGACCGGGTCACGCTCTGCAGGCGCGGAGGGCGTCAAGCGGGGGGGGGGGGGAGGGGCGGATAACGCAATGTCGGAAACAACATTGCATTATTACACGACGGCGGGAGGGGTCAATCGAGGCAGGCAGCGGCGTCAAGGTACGTCGGAACACAACATCGCGTTATTACATGAACAAACAGCCAACACATTATGCACATTGTGATCTAAGAGGGGATAGCCTTGGGGATGAGGTGGGCGAATGCACAGTATGACTCCCATCCAGGAGTGACCAATGAAACCGAATATACATTCAATCAACAGTTATAGGCACGGCGTTCTCTGCCATCCAGATGCCTGCGCAACGATCAGTATGACCTTCTACCCCTGATGAGCCAACACAGAGGAAAAATAGTGAGCATTTTCGCGAGAAATCAAAACATGCTTCCCACTATTTGGTGCGTTGAGCGGGCCGGTCCGGGCGTCATGGAATAAGTGATATGCCACCATCCTCGAAAAGTTGTGGGAAATTTCTGATGTTGGTCTTACCAGGCCTGCACACGCACAGGTAGAAGACGAATAGGGTTCGACAAGTAAGTGCTGCCCTCTATGAATAGCCAGACGTACCATCGTAACTGGGAGACGGCAGCCGGTTGGGAGCGTGGCTTAGTTCAACATCTTGCAGCTCCTTGAGGCACAACCAATCGCCATCCACAGATACTCGGAAGTTACACAGATACAATGTTTCCACGGTTCCTACTGCTGTATCGTCGCCCATGGCAACTAAGAGGTCATGCACTTCTGATTCACGTGGTCATCGAGAGATGGCGTCGCCGCCGCCCACCACCAACCTCGCGGACACTGACCACGGTCTCATCGGATATAAGCAATATCCTGCTGGAAGCATTTGAAGCTCAGCTGTTGCGAAGAAAAGCTACATGCAACGTAGAAGAATGTAAAAGCTTCCCAACTGTGCAAAGCATCTGGAAAATCGAGTCTCCTGTCAGCTTTACGTGCGAGAAGAATATGCTACAATCAGATTAGTACCACAAACCTGTTCAAGCAAAGTTAACATTTGAATATTCCTGCTGACTACAGCAACAGGGGCGAAACCTGCTTAATATTTCTACCCAGCTTACAGAGGTTAGTACTAAGTTCAGAAAGCTTTGCCCTTAATCAAGTACTTTGGGAAAAGGCTCACCTAATGGTCATGCCAATAAGCCGGCATTGTAGGCCAGAGCGTCCACGGCGAGGAAAATACCACAAAATTGACGAAATCCGCGGGTCGACAGTCATTGGGACCGAGAGACACTTTTTGGATCTAGGCTTTGGCTTTGTTTGTTCTAGATATATCAATTGAAAAATTTTTGGGTAGAACTCATCTATTAAACGGTAAACCTGGTCCCGATCAGAGGCCATTGCGCCAACATACTATCAGAATTACCAATGGGCGTTACTGTGTAAGTGACCTTACAACACCGTGAGCCGTTGCAAAACGTGCGAAAGTGCGACAGTCTGCTTTTATTCGCCTTGTGAGATTCAACACCGTTTTTAACGTAGCTTGGAATTGTTCTACAATAAACCTTAGACTGCTAAACCCCTTTATAGAGATCTGTCACAACTAAAAATTGAACTTTTCTTAATTGCATGCATGGCGAGTTAGAGCAGAGTTTCTACGCTAAGTTCAGATATTCGTCTTCGCTGGGAGATTTCTCCTACACTGTGACAATCCAGCAATGCTTTTGCTTTGCATACACCCTGTGGCAGCCGAGTGCACGGTTGGTGCTTTTTCAATGTGCTAGTATTTCAGTCAACAGCGTTACGGCCGAAAAAAGCGCGAAGCGATAATATTTCAGTTGTTCGAGACTTACTGAGGGGGATGGAGTAAATATATATATTTGAAATACGAGCAGTTTGAATACTCAAGAAATGTACAAGGACGACATGCGTTTAGTTGCATGGAAGACCCAATCTAAAAGAAACCTTCTGCCATTCCACGAACACCCGAACGGCCTGTAAACAGCTTCGAAGCAAAATCCACAGAAGAACCGGCCCATTCAGTGAACTCCGGGCATGGTAGTGGCCCGACATTAGCACGACAGATATTCAGATGATAAACAGACTCGGGCGTAGCCCAACAAGCGCAGATCACCCTCCAGCCACGGCGACGGCACCCGACCTCCTGCCACGTCGGCCGGAGCACCTCCCACTGCCGCACCAGCCTCCCTGACCGGGCACCACCGACGCCGCCGGCCACGGGAGCCGTCACCACTGGAGCCACCGCGGCAGCGGCCGGAGCCGTGCGGGCGGAGCCGGCTCCGTCGGCGACGCAACCTCAGTGTCGGCGGTCAATCGATGCGGCCGGCGGCGCTGCGCAGGTCAATCGATGGTCCCGGGGCGGGGCGGGCGCCGCCCCCATCGACCCGGCCGGCCGCCCAGGCGGCCCTCAGATCAGCGGCGCCCACAGGGGTCCGCCGCGCTAGGAAGGCGCCGCATCCGCGAAGCGCGAGCTTGGAGCCGAGCGGCGGGCGGCGAGGTCGCCGCCAGCTCGTGTTTCGCTCCGTTCTGGACTGTCACGCGGTGAATGACCCGCTGACCTTATACCTTCGTCAGCGAGATTGTGTTGTCGCATGACAGCCATAAAACACGTAATTGTCCACGTATCACGCGACTTCGCTGAGCACCATCGCGTCACTGCGGCACCAAGATTGCAGGCCCATCGTAAACAGACGCTGTGGAACAGACACCCGATAGAAGGGCCACTCGCAGGCTGCATGCATGCTTTGGGCATAACTGTGCCGCGGTGATTGGATCAAAAGACGTTGTCGTATTCGAGCCGAGCCATATTACTATCGAGCGCACCATCTATGGTAGCGACGCGTGGAAGAAAATGCAAGTGTCCTTGGAGAGACCCCAGCACGTGCTCAGCAATCGACGTTTGAAGGCCCCTTATTTGTACAGAACACCGCAAAGAAGACGGCTCGTAAGATTACCACGTAGTCACATCCTACTACCGGCAGGCTGCTCTGAAGCAGGGATGCAGTTTTTCGGGAAAAGTTGGGGTAGGAGTTGAGCCGGACAAAAATTGGCTAAATTCCCCCCAAAATTAAGGTCACCCCCCAAAAATTCACCCCTTACGCAAAAAAACGGGTTTCTTCCTGGATTTGGCCAGCGTGTAACGGCCAACCCCCCCCCCCCTCTCCCTCCCCCTGCTCTCCGGCTGCGAAGCGTCGTTGCTGACGTCCAGGACTCAACAGAGTTCTCGAGCAAGCGTTCACACACAAGCACCGTATTCGCGCATAGCAAGACCTCACTACTGAGCAACCAGATAAGTTACCAGAGGAGGTTTCGACTTAACACCGAACCCACGAACATGCTCCACCACGCCGATTTCCGCGCGTGCCGACGGGGCGCACACACCGGAAGCCATGGCAGCGGCGAAGGCCGGGACTTACTGTTGAGCTCCCAGCGGGCGACCTTGCGCGAGATCTCCATAGAGGTGGAGGCGACGAGCATGAGGGGCCAGCGGTCGCGCGGCGCCGGCCCGAAAGGCGAGGTCAGTGGGAAGAGGCGGGCTGGCTCGTCCGTCGGTGTCGATGAGGTCATCATGGTGAGGCTCTCACCAAATGTCACCTGTCACTAATGAGTTGCTATGTATGCAGTCACTAGCACTTGGCGATGGATACACAGGGTCGCTGGTACCAGCCACTGGTGCTGGATATCAAGTATCTGATGGCAGATCACTGCTGCTCACTGACTGACACTGTCACACCAGAACTTGGTTGATGATTCAGACAATGGTGTCTGGCTGCCTTCTGAGGTGCTGCCAATGATCACTGATGCACACCCTCCTGCATTCTCATTGTGACTAGACTGCTATTCAGCGCCTCCTCACTTCCACCAAAAGCCTTCCTTCTTCAGCTATATGTCTGTCATCATGTCCATGCTGATTTTGTAAGGCAGGCACTATTATCTGAAAGAAAACAGGTGATGTCAGATATCCATTGAAAATGCAAAAGAAAACAATGTTAGAATGTGAAAATTAATAAAAACATAGAGATGAACAGGTCCTGTATTATATTTTTGATAAGATATAACCCAAAATTCTTTTCACTCAGAAGAAACCATGTCACCATGCGGCTCCTGAAATGCTTTGTCCCTTTTTTTTTTTGCCAAGTACCAGATGTGATTTCTTGGCGAATGTTTAAGCAAGCCTGTAGCAGGTCATGCCATCACAGTGTTAGAATAGTAAATCTTGGCCTGAAAAACAAACAAAAAACTGATCTCAAATTTCAGAAAAGCACCCTCTCTGCCCTCTGCTGGGGTTCAGAGCATGAATCAGGGCCCAACCTTGCACTTTCTGTATTTAACAGCTATCAAGTTGAATACCAAATTATAAGGCTTAAACAAAAACCCATCTATATTAAGACTGGGTGAATAACAATAAGGACAGGAATTACAGATGAGACAGTATAAGCCTATGGAATTATCCAGGCTTCTCAAAAGTTGAGGGCAGCTACAGAAAGAAGGTAGTTAAGCAAATAAAGGGAGAAACAGACAAGGCTTTTGAGCCTTATCACGTAATTTCTTCCCCTGACATTGCTACCACATTGTAGACCTGCAGCCAACCCCCCCCCCCCCAAGTTGTGGAGAGGAGGGGACAGGGGGTAGCCACATCCCAGGAACTTGGTTTCCACATCCCTGGGGCTGTGATGACACTGGAACCTAAATAAAAAGCTAGTCTGAATTGCTAAAAACAATACTGCTAGACATAGTTTTTTGACATGCACACTTTACACACAAAGTGCAGGCAACATGGCCTGCATCTCATGGGTGAAGTCTGTGGTTTGGCCATATTTTTCAAGATGTTAAGCCCCACCTAAAAAATTTCAATGTTTTGCATTACTCAGAATAAGAATATTGGATAAACATAAAAATTAATATAAATAGTCAGTATCAGACACCGGAAATATGGAGGAAAAATAAGTATTCACTTGTATAGGCAATGACCTTCCCTTTTTTCCTCTTGCCCCTTAGCACCAACTCTCAACAAAAACTCTGGGCTTTGCAGCCAGGCCCCAAGCCAGAACTGTCCATGTTCAGTGTGTACCATGTTAGTTTTGAACTTAACAGACTTGAGCATGGCTTGAAGCTACATCAATCAAATAAAAATTGTCATGCATACTGAATGGAATTTGATACAACATTTACCTTAAAAGCTAGTCAAAGTCATAATACCCATTTTTGCAGCGTGGGTTTCCTTAATACGTAGGCAGCCAGACAGGCTCTACAACATCTTAGCTGCAAGCTGAGTGGAAAGTGGGAGGAAACTGCTGAAGGGTTTGAAGGAAAAAAAACAGGGGAAAAATGGCACACCTGTCAAACTTCAATACTTGTCTTCAGATTCCGTGTACAGGTGGGGACATGGCCACAAGTGATTAGACGCAATGGGGGGCGGGGGGGGGAGGGTAGCTGCAAAACCTAGCTAATCAGCTTTTTCTGCGATTTCTTTACGCGCCTGTTAATTGGGTTGGTGCACAAATATTTCCAAGGTTGAGGATAGGAACATGCAAGCCAATGGAGCCCCCCCCCCCCCCCAGCTGATAAGGCATTGGGGGCATCCACAACCTACGGACCAACACCACAGCAAGCCTCACGCGGTACATTCGTGCACGCTCCCACCAGCACACGCCATTTGTTTACTAACAGTACCAACGTCACCAAAAAAAGGGGTGACTAAAATGCTGACAAATGAAAGTGGCAGAACAATGCTGCGAAGCCGTCAGTATAATTTGTCACGATGCTTCCGACATTCAATGTGTTACAACAAAAACTTGTCTCGGATTGGTTTTGTAACGTTTTATTTGCTCTTAAGCACCTGTTCAGCGCAAAAAAACCATTCACTCGAAACAGCAGCCATGTTCCGAGCAATTCCGATCCCATGAGACGGGCCGGAACGAGAAGTTTTCAATTCGACCCAGCGGCGACTTCAGGATTTCGTCAAGGAGGGCCTACGCTTTATTGCGATACCCCCTGAAAACTTGGTGCCCCTCACAGAAAGTTCCCCGGTTTCGGCTACCTCATTTTCATAGCCTTATTGCCGTCGTTCAATTGGCCTTCACACGGGCGGTCTGCAGGATAAAGCCCATGCTGTTTTCAGAGGTCAGTTCTCTTCTTTTATTTTTAGGCTGAACTTTTTTATTGAAACAAAAGCCAGACGCTGCCAAAAGGTACCATTCAGCATGTACCAAGCAGGAAATGAAATGAAATCAAGCAGGAGTAAATGACTGCATGGAATAAACCCCGGTGATGTGCACATAGAAATGATTCATTTAGCTATTTCTATAGGCTGAAAGAGCCAGGGCATAGCTAGATTTTCGCGGGGTTTGCAAAGATATTAAGGGTCCATGAATTGAGCGTCAGCGTAGAGCAAAGATGAGATGAGCTTACGAATGTGAAGAAACAGGGTCAACAATTTTGCACTCGTATGTCCAACCCTCGTTTGCATGGGAAAGTACCCGCTTTCTTGAGAATCGATCAGCGGAATATGTATGTGATTTTAATCATGTCCTCTCGTTGTTGGGGAAGCCCATCTGGGCGAGTAAAAAAACACTGGTTCCCAGCGTTGCAGTCTCCATGCACCGCGAGGCATCGGTCCCGCAACCAACATCCAGCGGCGACCAACGGGTGTGCGAAAACGGTCACGGATCGGAAAAGGTACTTTTCGACGCTTAACCCACGCTCGACCGGGGGGCTGAGACAACCGCGCCCGGCTGTGGGAGGAAAGTTGATTTTCCCCTGGGATCTCCAACTTCCAAACACCGTGTGAAAATGTAAAGATACCATGTTGAAAGTATCGCCAAACCATGAAGAATGCACCCCAAATTTTTACCCTAGGTCAAATGTGAGGTCACCAGAGGCCACAGGAGGTCAAAAACGGTCGGATGCAGTTAAAAGTTATGTTAAAACATCAAAAAGGACATCGAGAGCACGGAAATAAGCGTTAAGACTATGGAAATACCATTCCAACCATTTCTGTCCCCCACATGCGTCAGGTCAAATCAGGTCGTCTCTCAAAATTGTTCTGCCGGCAGCCTCCAGGAACGATACTTTTCCCCACAATGTGCTTCTGACAAGGTTTACTTTATTGTGTGCAGCTGTGGGACAAAATAATTCCAGGCACAAAAATTCATTTAAGTGTGCCCCAGAGGTCATCTGTGCTCAACTGAGGTCAAATTTGTAAACCTCCTAATAAAAGAATTCAGGCACTAACTGGGTACATGTGGCCAGTACCATATTTTTGTGATCAGAATAGCGTGCTGCACATCTACAGATGCTCAAGATCACATAGCCGTTGTGTATATTATACAGAGTCCCATCGGCGCCCGGCAATGGTTTTCAGCAAGCTGAAAACAGGTACGCTGATACATAGAATTAGACGTCATCAGCTCCACAGGCAAACACGATAACCAGGTGGTTACATGCGTCGCACTCGTCTCTCTAGCCTCTCCGCTTTTGCTGGTTTGTTGGTATTAGCGTAGAAGGAGTCTCGGGCCGTGGGTTTCAGCCGTGATATATCCAGATTGCAAATGTGAGATGGCGCGATGGATTAGCGAGACTTCAGAGATTGCTTGCGAGATGGATTAGCACGCACAGCACCACGAACTGATGGCGCAATAGCATGATTTCTATTGTTCGTTTTTCTGTAGCTGCTCATTCCATTCAGAGAACCAACTTCGAAGTTATGCCAGTAAACTTTTCTGGTCATGAGCTGTAGGACATCCCGGCCTACAGTCCGGGCCCTCTAGCGATTGCCATTTTGGCGATACGGGGACGAAGTTCTCCTGGCTTATCCATACATAGGCCCTCAGAGGGATACATCATACATCGGTACCCACCCTGATGCGGCGAGTTCTCTGGCAGGAGAATCTGGCACAGGATTCACGCAGAGACCCTTACTGATGCAGAAATATCCCTCCCTGTCGCAGGGAGTTCAATAATTTGCTCAGAAATACCGATTCGGCTCATCGCACCCTGGTTAACCGGTGATGAGGACCCTCGTTTGACACTGGGGCCTCTAACACAGGGCCTTTGCCGCTGGATGTCAGCTGCCTCATTGGGGATATGAACCCCTGCATCGTCATTTTTTGTTTCTCGAAAGAGCAATTCTCTGCGAGATCGATCCATCCGTGGTCAAATTTTACGCCCTTAAATCGCGAATTTTGATCAAAATTGTTGCAAATGGTGACCTACGGCTTTGCAGTCAAATCTGACTTTTTCAATTCGATCAGGTCAGCGGGTCGAAATTTAGAGCCTACGCAAAGTGGAGGTCGCGTGCGAAAAAATTCTTTCGATGGCGTTTTCTCTGTCATCAAAAGTAGCAACCCACCAACTGTGTTTTGTTGTTTTTGTTTACTCTTCATGGAGCAACAAATAATAATCTGGAGGTTTTGTGAAATTTGTCCAAATGGATGAGCTCCCGATACCTTTGGTCTTTGCCTTTAACTAACCACTCATTGAGCCATCAGCCACCTTATGTAGGTCTGCAGAAGTGGCGTGCAATAACGTGATGCGTTCACTGATATTATTCTCGCAGAGCTTTCACTTGTCAGCACAAATCAAAGTATGCTCGGACATACGACAGTAAGCCGTTCAGTTTCTGTTTTTCAGAGTTCAACGTCGTGATTGGCAACATTTCCCTTAATCGCGCGTCTTTCACAAGTGTAAATCGTCGTTTAGTACTACAAAGTCGCTTAACCAGACGCTGTTGGTTTTTAAGGTCGTTGAGTCAACATAAGAAGTTTTAACTCCTCAGTCCAGACGTAG